AGGTCCGCCGCGGCTGGTCCCAGGGCTACCACTCGATTGAGCGGCTTGGACCCTTCCTCCCCCCCCTTCCTCCGTCATAAGTACTACTACCGGTACTGCATCTACCCACCACTTTTCTATTCACCCCTCTCTCCCACCCCCATCCCTCCTCTCCCTTCTTCTTCTGCATATTTCGTTGGGCAAGAGTTCCTTTTCTTCTTTCCTGCATTATCTTTCTCCACCTTCTGCACTCGCCCGGCCGAGGTTGTTCAATTTTGATAATTTTTGGTCTTCCCACAAACGTATAAAATCCTTCTGTGGTTCTGACGGGTTTTCCCACTCCAAGATTTATTTCCTGCTTTCCCACTGATTCCGAAAGGAAACACCCCCAGGTTCAACCCTCTATCCTCACCATCCTCATTGATCGCAATGTTCCTGTCACTCCTCGGCTGGGCTGTATACAGCCTCGTTCAACACAAACTCTGTTCCCTCGCTGCCATCCTCATCCTAACGCTTGCTTACTGGACACGCGCATACCTGAAAAGTCCCTTCCGTGCCCAGCAGATCCCTGGCCCATTTCTGGGCAAGTTCACGAATGCCTATCGCTGGTACTATATCATGCGTCACACCTGGCATAGGGACTTGATGGACCTGCACAAGAAGTATGGCCCAATCGTGTGGATTGCGCCGAATGAAATCTCGGTCTCGGATCCTAGTCTCAGGAATGTGATCTACGGCTTTCAAAATCATAAGAAGGACTTTACCTTCTTCAGAAAATCGCCCTCGTACGAGACCGGATCTATCAATCAGGATTTTAGCTTTATTTTCGAGCAAGATCCTGAGAGGGCTCGGCTGGGAAAGTATCATATGTCCCATTTTTACTCGGAACAGGGGTTGCTGAATCTTGAGGAAAATTTTGATAAGGTTTTCTTTCCTCCCCTTTTCTCTCTCCTGATTGGTTGGGATCTTTTATGTTGACTCTTGCGGAAAGGCCGTGGATGAATTGATTGAAGGTCTTGACAAACATCACGTAAAGACCGGGACTCCTTGCAAGATGGTTGATTGGGCAGAGTTTTTCGCCTTGGACCTGGTTGCACAGATCACGGCGGACCAATCTGCGGGATTTTGCCTTGCCGGTAAAGATGTCAATGACACGGCTTACGGAACGAGGGTTATCATCAAGACTGTCGGTTCTCTTATGCCGTTGCCATGGGTATTGACGGCTACTTCCCGTGCCATCCGTCAGACTCTTTTGCTCAGGTTTTTGATCAATCTTTACCGCAATGTGTTGCTCTTGCCGACTTTTGCCTTCGATACTGGGGCCGTGAGTGCTCTTCATGATATTGGGTTGAGGAATAATGACTAACCGTTAGTGGTTAGGCGGATCTTATATCCCTTAAAGACAGGAATCCCAAACACCTATTGGCCAAGTTTTATAATGCGCAGAGCAATATGAGGGAGCATTATCCTAATGGCAACCAAGCCGAGGGCACGACCATTCAAATCTTCAACTTGATGTATGCGATCTGTCTCCTCCACGTTCAGTCTTTCACAAAACTAACGGCCATCCCACAGTGCTGGTGCAGTGGGCGTGGTCCCGCATACCCAAGTGAAGTTAATCCATGAACTTACCCTTCACCCGGAAGTCCTACAAAAAATTCGCGAGGAGCTCCAAACAACAGGCGACACTTTTCGCCTTGAAGACTACCTTCCCTACAACAACCGCCAAAACAAGTACCCGATCTTCGAATCTGCTGTGCGCGAAGCTGTCCGTCTCTGGCCCGCCGTCGCCTTCTCCCTGTCCCGCGTGGTCCCCCCATCTGGCTGCCAACTCCATCAGTACCACATCCCGCCGGGTTATAACGTTGGCATGGCTGCTTACCAGGTTAACTACGACGAGGGTTACTTTGGCTCGGACGTAGCTCAGTTCCGCCCGGAGCGCTGGTTGGAAGACCATCCAACCCAGATGCTCGGAGGTGAAAAGCGCAGTATGAAGAACTACATCGAAGCCGGCTGGCTCACTTTTGGCTCTGGCGGGAGAGTGTGCATTGGGAGACATCTCGCCATGTTCATGATGATGAAGTTCACTGCTGCTGTGGTTCGCGAGTTTGATATTCGTGTTGTCAAGCAACCGGTGGAGTATCATACGCTTATGACTGAGATGCTGGGAATGGAGGTCTTGCTTAGCAGGAAGCGTGCTGTTTGAGCTAGTCAGCATGATAGGTAAATAGGGTGTACGTATGGTAGATGGATGGTTGATGGCTAATGTGTATTTCTTTCTCTCTCATGGGGTTTCGGGTCCACTCTCATTTTCTTTCTCTATATTATTAGAGGGTGGGTTTTGTGTTTGTTCGTTGCACTGGGCATGGGGAGTTCTGCTTCCTTTTTTTATATTTCGTTTTTATTATTATTGTCTATCCACCCATATACTTGTCTGTCCTTGAACAGCGCTGGAGGAGCCGGGTGGGAATTGTATATGCTTTTTTTACATTCTCTTTGGATATATTACACTCGCTTCTTCGCTGCTGCATTACCTCGCCCCTCACAGGCATAGTGCCACATCATAACTCTGAGACCCAAGTCACTCGATAAAGCGTTGGGTAGATATGGGACTCGGCTGCACGCAGGATGCAGAACGAGTGGGGTTTATCGTGGCAAAGCAAAGCCAAGGGAAGGGATGAAGTACGGCAGGGTAGCTAGGTGGACAACGGACGAATTAGACGAGTGATATTACGTGATTGTGCTTATGTTGGGGGATCAAACGAAAAGGCCAATGCTTTTCTCACATGCTGAGTGCTGGGGTGGTAGATTCTACGTTGATTGGTGAAGGGAAATTATCCAAATGAAATAAGACAGAACATTCGATACAGCTGGAGGTGAGGGGGGAGCCGGGGGTGGGGGCAAAATCATCATCATCGAAATGTATCATAAGCTAGCCAGCCAGGTGTGTGTAATCTCATGATTGCGTGTCTACGTCTTGATATTTTAAACGGCACTTTGAGTAGGCAATGGAGCAAAGGGTAATTCGAGTAAGCTTATCATGGGGTTTTATTTATTCATTTATTTACTTTTGCCGCGTCCACACTTGCGCTGTCAGACCACTAAATTAGCTAGCTATATACAGTAGCTTTTACTTTTGCCGAGAACAGACAGACTGGTAGATATGAATCTTGTGTGTATTTGTGTGTTTGCGCTGAGGGGGGAAGGGAAGGGAAGGGAAGGGGTTCTGTGTCTTTTTTTTTTTTGGTCGGGGGTTTGAATGGTGTTGGTGTCATGGTCTCGTATGTATCATAATTTATATATAATAAGGGATTAGATTGGATTAGCCAGTGATGATGAACTACTGGTAATGCTCTCGGGGGTTTTAGGGGAGGAGAGGGGAGGGAGGGGGAGGGGGAAGGGGGGAGGGGAGGGGTTCAGTATGGTGGGTATGGTGTTATGATATCTATCTTGAGGTTCACTTTGGACGCCATGTGATGTGGTGTGATGATATTATGTACCGGTACTGTACTGTACTCGGCGTTTTTTAAAGTCTCCGGAACGTAGGTTACGAGCCCTGTGCCAAGTTACTGTAAGTTCCTGAAAAATATCGGTGAGGTGAAGCCAGTAGTTATGCCATCAGTGCATCACTTATTCGTTTCCCATTCCGGAGACTTTTAAAAATCGTCGAGTACAGTGCCGTACCGTTCGTTACTGGTGGGTCACTCGGACTTCTCGCCTTTGGTCACTTTTCACCTTTTTTTCTTTTCTTTTTTTTCTTTTTCTTTCTCGTTCCGTATCGTGAGAGTTTTTCGGCGTGAGACGGGTATCTGATATTTTGTTACTTTTTTTCACAAAACTTTTGCTGGAAGTTTTTTCCTTTTTTTTTTTTTTTGGTACTTACCGGCCCAGGACAGGATCTTAGAGGGGGTGTGGTGATTGGCGAGTTGCGGGTACGGGATTTTGGGGAGAATGAAGATGATGACATTTTGTTTATTTTATTATTTTGTAATAATATCGTTGGAAAAATTCTTTTCGGTATCATACATAGATTGGTGTCATGAACTTATCACTCGTTCGGAGACATCGGTGTAATACATTACCCCTCTCCCCGCGCCCTGGTATTTCTGTACTACGGTGGTACGAGCAGCACCATATGACGAATATGGACTGACTTATTCCGTGAACTCGTCTATGCTACCGCATCACCCGCCTCTGATTAGCGCCTACACTCCCGGTACTGTGCCTTATTGTACTGTGCTTGCACGTTGGAATAAGATTTTTTCGAGGAGTGTCTCAGGTTCGCAACGGAACGCCTTGCCCTAAACCTTTCCTGGCGAAGCCGGTGTTTTGGGTTTCTCCGGAGTGTATCGGGTGTCTCACTTTAGCCGCTATTGTGATTTTATTTCAACGTGTAGTGCCCGGGGAGGAGCGGGTGGGTAGCGAGTTGGCGAATCTTGCCCGCCTGCCCGCGGTATTGTTTGTGCTTCCTTTCTGCGGTATTCGCTCGTTCTGGCGTGTGTGTTCGGAGCCTGGGCTCTTCGCCGTGTACTATACAGTACATACAGTAATGTGGTCGTCGTCGTGTCGGGTCTGGCTTGGCGGGTTTTTGGTATGACAGTTGCTTTCCGGTCCGGTCGGGCGCGGATCGTTTCGCTGGGTTTGCTGCTGCGGGTGAGAGCGGAGGGGAAGGGGAAACTATTTGTGGGGATTGGGATCGTGTTCTGGTGGGGATGGATTTGTTTTTATATGTGGTGGCTCTCTCGGAGATTTCGGAGATCGTGGGTATATGCCGTAGTGGCACGAAGAACCCACCTGGGGCTCTGGTACAGTGCGGTGCGGCGCATTTGCCCCCACGCATGCTCCGTAAGGTGGCTAAACCCAACCACGCGGATTCCTCGCAACTTCCGATATGTGTCATAGTCACTCACTCGTCCGGCATTGTCTGGGGGCTGCTAGGGACAGGGTTTTCTCTTCTGGCCTGGCTGGAGAGGCTATATTGATTCGTGACACCCGGTTGCGGACCGGACGGAATATCCTGAGAATAGGAAGGTATCTCACCCAACTTGCTGAGAGCCGATAGTGGGCGGTTGGGTGGCTCAGGAAGTGTGGAGTAGGATACCGCATAAGGTTGAGAAACTCTTAGTGAATATATGGGTACGGGTAGGGATGTCGGGGGTTTGAGCCAAGCAGTAATTCCCAGAAGGAGTAGAGGTTACGGCGACGGTTCTTGGGCTGGTTCGGGGAAGGCGGCTTGGAACCGCGTGGTACCGAACTGGATGTGGGTGTGTCGTTCTGGGGCGATATACCGGCATGCGCTGAGTACTGCTCTCCGAAATCGTATACCATGCATGAAGGGTTTGACTGCACAGCGAGTTTTTAGCTTACACGGTCCTCATATAGTGGTGTTAATTCCACAATTGAGAGGCCCCTTGCTGTGTTAATTTTCCTTTATTAGCAAATCTAGGGGGTGTTGGCGGCCTCCTGACCTCGACTAGAGGACAGTGGCATGAATTCGAGCAAGTGTGATCCTCATTAAGCCGTGTCTATATGGAAGCTAGTCACGACTATACCCTCGTTAATATCTGGCTTAAGGTCACTTTTCACAAATGCCAGAAATACTTGTATTGTATCTCACTTTCCTTCTTTGTGTTGGAACAATCCTCGCATCTATATTTCAGAAGGGAGGGAGAAAAATAGAAGAGTAGATCGAGATTTCAAGACAGACGGGTTTATCTCAATACAACAGAAATAGCCCTCCAGCAGTGCCGGGCACTATATGGTAAACAGAAGCTCTCGGGTTCTGACCAGACTGCATGAAAAGGTCCGTAAAGTGGTTTGGATGGGTATGCGGTAGATATGTGCATTTTTATAACATTTGATTTCCTTCGATCGAAAGGAAATATTTAGAATGAGTTTTTGTGGCAGGCGTACTCTGGAAGGGAGGAAAAGGTAGCAATTGCGGCGGGACGAGGTCGTATCATAAGTTGCCGGAGGATGGTGGGCAGGAAAGAGAGAAGGGGGCTGGAATGACAGAAACCAACATGCCTATGGGGCTGCGACGGAAATGGCGTATAGCTTATCTGTATTCGAGCGCGGTGTTGGGCGTCATGCACGGCCTTAGATTGTACTAGGAGGGGCGGACACGTGGGGCCGAAGTAGCGCCACCACCCCCGCATGGCCGAACTCGGCGGCCCAGCAGAGGGGTGTTCGGCCGCTGTAATCAGGTTTGTCGGGATTGACGTCGCCCCGCCCGAGTAGTATTTTCACTACTCCCTCATGTCCATTCTTAGCAGCACGAGAGAGTGGAGTTTGGCCGTCATCATCTGGTTCATCGGGATTGACGTTGTCCCGTCCGAGTAGTATTTCCACCACCCCCTCGTGCCCATTCTCAGCAGCCCACCAGAGTGGAGTTTGGCCGTCGTTATCTGGTTTGTCGGGATTGACGTCGCCTCGCCCGAGTAGTATTTTCACCACCCCCTCGTGTCCATTCTCAGCAGCCCGACAGAGTGGAGTTTGGCCGTCGTTATCTGGTTTGTCTGGATTGAGGTCGGGTTGTCCGAGTAGTATTTGCACTACTCCCTCGTTCCCGTTCAATGCGGCAAGCGAGAGTGGTGTTTGGCCGTACTCATTTGGTTCGCCGGGGCGGGCGTCGTCTCTCCCGAGGAGTATATCTGCCACTTCTTCGTGACCATTCCGGGCAGCCCACATGAGAGGTGTAAAACCCGTACAGTCTTCTTGGGTGATATCACTCCCTTCCAATTCTACCAAACCAACTACAATCTCAACAATCCCGAACACGGATGCACAATGTAGGCCGCTGAATGGGGAGGTTTTATCGCAATTCAGGGCATACCAATATGGCCTCTGTGCTTTTAAGAGAATTTTGGTGGATATGTGGTTATTGCAGTCGTCGAATAGCTTTAGCGCAAGCAATTTTGCGCAATCCGAAAGGCCCCTTTTTGCATGGATTCCCCAATATAGAGAAGAATATTCGAGAAAGGGAGCGCTTTGGAGGTCTGGAGAGGGACTGATGGGGAGAGCTTTGACCTGCTGGGAATTCAGATAACTTAAGCAGGTCTCTGCCATTGTCGAATGAGCCGTACCGGAGAACTCGGGATGAGCCCGGAGGTACTCTTGAAGGGTGAAGTGGATTAGCCTGACCGTGGAATGCTCCTTGTCTACGGCAATGAGTCCTTGACAACAAGCTAGCAATGTACCTATTGAGGGAACATTGCCGACATCGAAATTCGGCGACCCTATTTCGACTGCTAGTGCGTGACACAGTTCATCGGCCTTCAAGGGACGCTCCGAATGAGAGATCCACATTAAAGCGGCCATGCCGATCCTTGATTTCTCCCCACCCTGTCCCCTTATCCGACTCAGCGTCGCCCCATAAGCGTCCCCCAACCCCAAGCCATCGGCCATTGCGCTGAGCTTTTGTCGCCTGCGACTGATTGTGGTTTCTTGCAAGATCGCATCGATATTCAGCGAGACCAGCAGGAATCTAGATGTGTATCTGTTAGTGGACGATTTGAGGCAGTTTCCCCAGTGCCATTGCGTCTACGTACATCTCGGAAATATCTTCAGGAATTTTCTTCAAGATGTCTGCCTCTAGACTACTGTCCATCGCATCTGGGTTCGTGTCCTGGTCCAGCCTTGTACGGAGATATCTGATGATGTCATACTGTTTAGGACTTACGGACACACTCGTTACTCTTTTAGAAAGACGCTTCCCGATTTCGGTCCAAATGTGTGGTCTTCCTGTCACGAATATTCGAGTGGCTGGAGACTTTTGGAGGATCTGATTTAGCGAATCGAGAAGCCTGACCCGGTATCCCGCCTCACACTCATCTAGAGCATCGATGCATATGAATGATCGCTTTTCG